GCTCAAATTTATCCGATATTCACAAAACAAGTTTTGTAAGGGCCTATCATACTTTTCGAGTCAGAACCATTAAAAAATTAGGCTTTTATTTGACTTCGTGTCAAAAATGGAATATTATATACATATAATATATGTTTCTTATATACGTTAAAAAAAGTAATATATTTTTTGCTATAATATACGTATATGTTACGATAAATTCATCAGTTAACTGAAGTTAAAGTCCTATAATATCCGTATATTATTCGTTTCATATAAAAAAGTAATATGAAAAACGTATATTATTTATACCTTTGAAATGTTATACGGTTTTTATACGAACAATACGTTTAATAAACGTATATACTACAGAGCCGTGTTGCTTGGGAATTAAGGCCCTGCATATTTAATTCTTTTTACAGGAGTTTTTAAAAACTGAATAATGTTGCACATTTAAACAAAATTATAAAAAATAGTTGTATTTCAATAATTTAAAAAGGATTTAAGAACAATTTTTTTTTTTAATTATTTCTTAAATAACCCAAAATTGTCAAAAATTACAGATACATCCTTCTTACAGCAAGGTCCTTAATTGTTACAAAAATTATGATTTTCTTTTCTAATGCTTAAAAGTGACAATATTTCCTAAATTGCAAAATCCACTGCATTGGTACTTCTTAAAAGAAGAAATAAAATAAATAATTAAACAGTAGAAACAGGGTGTTTTCTATTAAGGGGGAGTGATTTTCACTAAAATGCCTACTTTTGAATCCGTTACATTGATTCCATAATTTTTTTAAATATAAATATAAATAAATTTGTCTGAAGATTAATGGCGTAGAGCATTTTTTGCCCAGGGCAATACAACTTTCGTCAAATGTATTACTTTTTAAAACAAGTCGATTAACTTTAACTTTTAACTTTTTCTGTTCACAAATTTATTGACGCTGGAATCACCCGAAAATGAAAATTCATTAGTCGGCATTTACCAAAATTCACAAACTAATAACAAAATTTTACAAAATCATTAAACATGACGATAACGATTCGAATTTGTCTTCAAATCTTCATTACTTACCCGACTGAAAAATTTCACTGACATTGAAATTTACTTTAGCAGCATTACAATATTGTGAGTTTGTGACTAAAGAATTAAGTAAGACAAAAAGACAATTTTCTGAAAAGTCACTGCAAATTGTTTATTTTGCCCTGCTAAGCTATAAGCCTGTATCTTTTATATGAAGTAATAAGGGACAATAGTATATTGTGCGACTAGTCGGACAAAGAGAATATTCTCACACAATATTTTATTTATCTACCACAAAGAATTTAAAGCCAATTTTATTTAATATTTTATCTGAAATCTGACAGCTGTCAAGCCACTTTAACATTTTTTAAAATTTTAAGTCAAAGCTAACTTCAGCCCGTGAGCGAAATGCTATTTTGAGGAGATTCCTCGAGCGTGTAGTTTGCCGCACGAGCGGCCAATAGTTGCACACAATATTTTGTTCAACAACAGTTGTCAATAAATTTTAACCTCACTTTTTTCCTAAATAAACTTAAAGCTTCAGCCCGTGGGCAAAATGCTATGCTAAAGTTAAGAAATAATATGGGAGTTGAATAAAAAATCATTTTTGTTGTTTTTTGACAATAAAAATGATTTTTTGTTTTTTATTTTTTAATAATGCAGATACGAGCTTTTGTCTTAGCAGGGCACCATTTTTTGTTTGAAAGTTTTACAAAAAATATCTTTTAATTATTCCCGATTTTTCATAAAAAAGAAGTAGGTACCTAAACTTTTTCGTCTCCAATATTCAAATTGATTAGCTGGTAGTCGGCATTAGCTGCAGCTGCAGTCGCCATTAGCCGCTTATAGTAGCTTATAAAAGTTTCGAAAATGCCAAATATTGAATTCACAGAAAAATAAGGGTCTGAATTCATTTTCATGTCTTTAATTAATTTTTTTTTGGAAATAACAATTTTTTAAAAAATTTCCTAAATTTGGTTCCCATTAATTTGAAATATTGGGATTTGTTATCGAAACCCGACTTTGGAAAATTTGAGGGTGTGAAACCCCTTACGCTCCTAAATTCAAAACAAAAATTTATTAAATTTAAACCTAAATTGATCTTTTTCCTGCTAAAACAAACATCTTTTTGCATCATTTGTCTCAGTCAAAAATATCATCACACCGCAGGATAAAGCGATTTTGATAGACCGGAAAATAGTTTTAAATTGGCCCCGTGATCGTCCACCCCTTCGATTCGCTTTGGTGTTAAATAGGAAATAATGCAGAGTCATATTCGTGTTATTAGGAGGGATGAACTCGGCATGGACAATTGATGAACTGAATATGACAACATTAGTTGCCCTTTCACCTAACTTACATGTATCTTGTCATGTCGCACGTCAATCTACGGAACATGCTGAAATGTTACATATCTTTAGGAAAGCAATAAAGGAATACATTTTAGATGTATGAGAAAATAGGTTGAAACAATTATAAAGAACTTCACGTCAAGCGCACAAAACCAGCGGTTTTTTTTATTTCTATACCATAATAAGGACAGTCCCCATGGCAATGTACGATGCGCAAATATAATTTATAATTCGTATTACAAGACATTTTCACGCACTCGTCCTCGTGCGAAAAAATGACGTCTATGATATTAGTTCTTTAATAAACTATTTTATCTACTCCTACATTGACGAGCTGTAACTTTATGGCGTTTTATTGACGACATTTTACGTCACGGGCTGAAGTTAGCTTTATTATAAATTGGGAAAAAGTGAGGTTAAATTCGGGTGACAGTTGACAGATGTCAAAATTTTAACAAATAAAATTGGCTTTAAATTCTGTTTTGTAGTCGTCGTAGATTAAATATAGTATGCAACTCGTTTATAAACTTCTCTAGGCACTCGTTTTTATTAAACACTCGCTCGCAAGCTTCGCTCGTGCTTAATTAAACTCGTAACTAAAATGGCGTTTATCAAACTTGATACATAATATACTATTATCTACTCCTACATTGACGAGCTGTAACTTTGTGGCGTTTTAGTTACGGGCTAAAGTCAGAAACAGTGGCTTTAAGCTTTTTAGTCACGGGCTGAAGTTAGCTTTATTATAAATTGGAAAAAAGTGAGGTAAAATTCCGGTGACAGTTGACAGATGTAAAATTTTTAAGAATTAAATTGGCTTTAAATTCTGTTTTGTGTTCGTCGTAAATAAAGTATAATATGCGTTTATAAACTTGTAACTAAAATGGCGTTTATAAAACTTGATACATAATATACTATTATTATACTATTATCATTCTAAAATGGGTTCTTGTTTTTAATATTATATAACATGTTATGCCCTTTTTAAGGTTCATATTAAAAATGTAAAAACATCTATACACCAATTTTGCAATTTTGTTCAACATGCTTAACTTTTTTTTTTACTAAAAAACAATGAAGACTATATAAACAGGTCTCATTTATAGCGAGGTTACAACGTTGTTCCAGCATAGGCTACAATAATTGTATTCTTAAAACATATTTTGAAAAATGAAAAAATGCTAAAAGGCGTCAAAATATGTTTAAAGAATAAATTAATTAAAGACATTTTCAAATACTATATATTTGGGTATGTTACATTTATTATTAAAGCAATAATATGGTTTTAATATTTAAATTTTGCTTCTTAAAAAATATATTTTGTTGGGGTTCATAACAAAAAATCCAAGTGGTAGGTAAATGTAATTATTTTTTTACAATATTTTTTTACTGAAGGTTCACTGGTAAATCAGTTGTCAGCAGTAATTCTATTGGTACGGGCAACTGCAAACAATGTCTTTGGAAGAATTTCTAAATGGCCCGTTTGGCTGTCCACATATGGTTCCATACGAGGGCAAACATTTTTATAAGAAACTGAAATCTGTTTCTGCTATTTCTGCTTTTTTTGCTGATAGATGGCAAGACTCAATTCCATTATATTTGGAGTTGTCCCAAGGTATTCGTTCTAGAACAAAGTAAAACTCCTGTAAAATAAAAAATTGCAATTAGAGCTCTTATCTCCGTCTCAACGACATAATTGATAAATAATTTAAAAAAAATTAATTGTATTACAAAATTTACTTTTTCCACTTTGTGTTGTGTTTTCCAATAAAAGAGCTCTTATCTGACTAATTGTCGGATACTTTTTGCTAAGAATCGGACTGTATTATGTATAATCCGCTTTTAATGAGTCTTCTTCATTTGATCTAGTACCTTCCTCTTCTTCGCTTAAGAGTTCGTTATACCCCTGTAAGAGTATTTTTGGGTCATGTAGTCTTTCAACATTTTTTTAGTGCCTGACATACTGGGTTTTATCCTAAACACCCTAACCTATAAATTAAAACACAAAATTACCAATTTTTTCAAAAAAAATAATAATTTAATGGGTTAAAATACCCTACTTATAACAGTACGCCACATCAAATGAACAGCTACTGAAAGTACCACCTATATAAATAAATAGTAAATACGATTAATGTGAGAAATAAAAACCTGTGATAACAAGTTTTAAAGAGGCAGAAACACGAACATGTTTAAATAAATTCACCTTTGAATTGGAAAAAGATTGCCCGCTGCCATTTTTAGATACCCTAGTGATTATATCTAACAATACTCTAGAGTTCTAAAACTTTAGAAAACATACAAGCACTGCACGTTACATCACTTCAGAGTCAAACCACTGCACTCAACATAAGCAGGCTAGTTTTAACTTTCTTGTTCGTATGTAGGTTAGTAAACTTTTCACTTAGTAACAGTACATACAAGAAAGAGCTCAGTTTTATAAAAGACATTTCTAGAGACAATGGTTTTGAACCCACCCTGGTAGATATGTAAGTTAGTAAATTAAATTAAATTTAAGTCTCGCCTTTCTAGGTTAAAGACTTTTCGAACAGAGCCCACAAAAGTCCTTTCGAAACCCAGTACACCCGAGGTCTGGAAGGGATTTTTTGAAAACTGGACTACAAAATTGCTTTTACTTCAAGCAGTAACATACTTCAGACCCTTTTAGGCAACCCCAAAGAAAAGATTCATAGAATTGAAAAGTCGGGGATCTACGAAATAAACTATCCAGATTGTGACAAGAAATATGTTGGACAAACCAAACGATTCATCCAAGTAAGGTTTAAAGAGCACTTGGCTAGATTTGGTGGGACAAAAAAATCGAGTGTTGCCCAACATATACTTGATGATGGTCATAGACTAGGATTTGACAACTTTAAACTTATTAAGGAAGTTAGGGAACCAAGTCTGCTAGATAGTTATGAAAGTTTATACATCTATAAGAATAAAAATAAATCTTTAAATAGCGATAACCGACCGGAACCCAACTCTAGTTTGTATAAATTAGTTTGTTAGTTTCTCTTTACGTGTTCACTGAAGCGCTTCTGGTCCACGGTTTAGTAAACTGTGTCCGTTCACGGTTCAGTCAACCTTAGCTTATAATTAGATAAATATGGTTAATTTGGCAGTTATATTTAGTTACACTTCGCTTTTGAAGATGTCAACATCTTTGGCGAAAAGTACTTTAAGTATTTTATTTTTTTTTTGGTGTGGGAATATTTCTAATATATGTTTAATTGGGTTCGCATCTCGCCACTTCATAAAATTTAAGAGGCTACCAGAATTTAAAATACAAAAAAAGATGATAATATTTAGGATTTTTGGACGTGTAAACAAAAACTATCAACTATTTATTATTGTGGCATGAAATCCTTCATGTATAAGAAAATAAATGCAAGTCGTATACGACTTATAAGAATGTAGAAGCCATTTAGATTTATTTAAAAACACATGCTGTCATAACAAAACAGCGTTTTTTAAACATAAAATTACGTTTAAAACAACCTGCAACATAACCGCACAACTGTGATTTACTTTATGGCTTCATAGCATAAGCAATGTATAAAAATGGCGTTAAAGTTTCATATAATGCGCTTATGCGTTTAAGTACTACGGTTTATATTTTAAAAAGAAATGACTCTTGCCTGGTAAAAACTGGTAAAACAATAATTTTGCAAGCATTAAATTTATGTATTGGTTATAATGGCGCTTTTACATACTTATTTTCACGTTTTCGTGGTGTTATTATCTGCATTAAAAGTTTTATTAGGCAAGATTAAAATTTAAACATTTTTGTCTGGTAAACATTAAAGCATATAATATAAAAGTTTATCATCATCATTTATTATATTTTATGTATTATTTTTACTTTCTTATTAAGATTATTCTGATGTATCTTTTTAATATAAAATTTGAAGGGCGATATGTTTTTAGGTTAAAAATGACCATTCCTAATTTATCAAAATAAGCCCTATTTTTAAGCACTTTTTATCTTATTTGTAAATTACGCTTTCAATTTTAATATAAACTTTGGATTATTCTTATAGTCTATAAGTTATAGAGAACAGAAATAAAATATCCTGACAAGAACACGCCTGATGGTGTTAAATCACAAGCTATTGGAGGATATTGGACCGATCCATTTATTGAAATAATCATGTTGTTCCAAAGCAAATTCACTTCCGTCCAAATGCTTCAATTATTTCATTGGGTTGATTTTTTATGCATGCCCAAATCCTTACGTCAAATTATTTCTGAATATGATCAAATTGATCTGAACACTAGGTTGATTCGTTAAAAAGAACAAATTCAATGGGTTGCAAGAAAACATATTATTCTGATAAGTGATTGAATAACTGTGCGACACAATTTGATGAAAAGAAAATATTGTATCCCAACCCATGGGTTGTATTTAAAAAAAAATTATTTTAAAAACCTATGTATATACAGGGTGTTTCACACCACAAATGTAAAAGTTTCTGGAAAAAGGAAAAAGATATCGATTTAAAATTTTAAAAGCGTTTATAATCCATTTAAGTCTATTTTTCTAAAATAAATAATAATAAATAATAAATGTCACTGGTTTAACCGAAAATGACATCAACTAAAATTAAATTTGTTAATATCAAATTGTTTTTTATTGTGTTGTTTATAGTTTATTAATACTGATTAGAGCGGATGCCTAGTCTACGGCGCGCGGGAGTGCGCTATACCGTGCGCTCATGAGCGCTCGCGGTCGGGGATAAATAAATGTAACTGAAAAAAAAAACAAATTTATAATTTGAGGGTGAAGTATTAAATCCTAAAAATTTCATTAAAATATCTCTAACGGGTTTTCTGCTATTTTTTAATTAAAACTACAAAATTTTTATTGTAAAAAAATTGTTGTTAAAATAAAAATTTCAAAAAACTGTTTTGGGATTTCATTATTGATGGTGACGGCTTTATATTAAAATATATTAATTTGAATTCCACGATAAAGTGGGAAATGTGGGGTCCACTTGAGGTAATCTTACTCATTAGGAATCCACATTAAAAACACTAAACTTGGTCAAAGCTTTATAAGCTTTATAACCATAACCAAGTAGTTAATTGAAATGATTTAAATAAAGTTTATTTAAATCTTACCTTGAATGATTTATACCCAAATATTATTAATCTATCACTAAGTGCTCATTCATAATGGACGTAACCATAAGATGTCCATAAAACGGAAACATAATATCACCATAATTTGTACGTAACGATGAGCTGTGTTTATAATGAACGTATGCCTTATGTATATATTAATAAGGCGCGCATGTGCAAGTTCCCTAAAATGACAGCATTGAAAGTTTTCGTCTAATTATTATGTCTTAAAACTATCAGTGTTATCATAACCTTAGTGTAATGAGCGATATATATGTAGAATTACTTCTCCTTTTGTTGGCAAAGAGAAGAAGTTTGCCCACAACCGAAAAGAAGCAAGAAATGGTTCTTAAGATACACCAGAATTCACTTGAAAAACATCTGTCATCTGTTTGCATGGCAGCCTGATTGCTATCAACAATGTTCTAGTGAAATCATAAAAATTAATAAAATTCCCACATAATAAACCCGTAAAGTTGAGTTCATTTCAACTTAACGTTTTTTTTACGGTCACCCATAAGTGCTCCTCCCATAAGATGTCCGTAAGAAATACGCAAAGCGAAAACTTGAATATTAACAAAATCAGTGTGCCTGTTTATAATGAGTAGCAGTAATTTTTATTTTACGTTTTACTTTCGAACATAAGATCTTTATGTCACCATACGATGAGCTGTGTTTATAATGAACGTATGCCTTATGTATAAGATCTTATGGGAGACCGTAAAAAATACGTAAAGTTGAAATGAACTCAACGTTACAATTTCTTATGTGTGAATTTTAGTAATTTTCATGATTTCACTAGAACATTGTTGGTAGCAATCAGGGTGGTAGCCATGCAAACAGATGACAGATGTTTTTCAAGGGTATCTGAAGAACCCACTGTTTTAGTTCGAGTATTATTCGACAAAATTCGCCTTTTTTTTTCTGTCTCTATTCACTGGTCTTACACTCCACCGTCGAGGTCTCCGTTGCTTCTTTTCGGTTGTGGACAAACTTCTTCTCTTTGCCAATAAAATGAGAAGTAATTCTACGTATATATGGCTCATTACACTAAGGTTATGATAACACTGATAGTTTTAAGACAATAATTAGACGAAAGCTGTCAATGCTGTCATTTCAGTGAACTTGGACATGCGTGCTTTATTAATATATACATAAGGCATACGTTCATTATAAACACAGGTCATCGTATGGTGACATAAAGATCTTATATTCGAACGTAAAACGTAAAATTTACGGCTACTCATTATAAACAGGCACACTGGTTTTGTTAATATTCAACTTTACGTTTTGCGTATTTCTTACGAACATCTTATGGTTACGTCCATTATGAATAAGCACTTATCTATCTTTATTCATCCACCTACTCCCAATCAACAACCAATCAACAACCCCCTTACTACCTTGAGACGATTATTACCAACTTTACTTTTAAAACTGCCTTGGTAATACCCCAAACTGGCTGTACTCAAACTAAAATTTTTTAGTTTAAAACAGCTGACAAATATATCTTTGTCAATGTCATCTCATTCTGTCAATATGACTTTAACTAAATGCGTATAGTTAGTTTTCGCTTTTCTTACGAGTACGATCAAAAGTCGGGCTACCACAATCCATAAGAAATAAACCTGAATTTTTCGAAAACATTAGAAGATCTATAAAAAAACGCGTTAGGAGATGTTAAGAGATTGAGCATTTACTAAAATAAGACTTGTTGAAAATTGAAAATAAATTGCGTTATTGTTGTAGTTCATTTACTGTGTTTAATAAATAGAATTTATGCATTTTTGTGGCGAGACATTTTTTTCTCGAAAACAGTTGGCTCCTTGACTAACAAGAGCAGCTTTTTTACGTAAAATTATCTGAAGAATTGTATTCTAAGATCGAGAATTCAACAAAGCCCCACAAAAAAGTTAGGAGCATTTTTTCCCCGAGTTTCGGACGCCAATGGTCATCATTTATCCGATTTTGCGAAACATTTTAAAATGCCCCAGGAGGCATTTTCGGACTTCTGTTTATAGCAACTTTTTCTAATATTTTTACTTGTAGAATCACCCATGAAATATATTAACGTTATTTCTAGACACCCTGTATAAGTATGTTCTTATATGTATTGCATACAAAGTTGCTGTATGTCTAAAAATTGTAATTGTCATTGACAAAAAAGTTTTTCGCATGCCGCCATGATAATTTAAAGCAATTTATTTGTTCTATTGAATGTATAATTGGTTTCCATAGTAATATCGAATAAAATTATTAAAATTAAGTAAATTTATTGTTGAATACATAGACATGTCTTTGTTTAAATATAAACCACTTAAATTAAGGGTAACCATTAAGCATTATGAGCTAATAAATGATGATGGTCAAAGAAAGCCTGTTTTAATTCGTTTTTTGACACATAACATTTATTTTATTAAACTGCCATAGGAAAATAATGTAATTATTATTCTTATTATTGTAAAAGGACATTAGGTTTGTGTCCATTAACTTTCCCCTCATATTACGCATAAACACAATATGAGCACGTCATTACTATAGTTTTGATGGCAGTAATGTAATCAAAATATCTTTTAATTATAGATGGCTTGTGAAATAGCAGAACGATATTATATTATTATGAGTGGACCGGCCAGCCGTAGTTGTAA